TCCATCAACATGTAAAATAGGCTGAGAGTAGCGGCACACACCTGTAATCTCAGCACTCTGGGAGGATCACTTGAGGCCAGGAGTTTGAGACCAGCCTGGGCAACGTAGCAAGACCCAATCTCTTAAAAAAAAAAAAAAAGAAAGAAACTAAACTAAACTAAAACTAAAACATAGAAATGTGGGATGTGACCAGGCGCAGTGGCTCACACCTATAATCCCAGCACTTTGGGAGGCCAAGGTGGGAGGATCACCTGCGGTCAGGAGTTTGAGACCGGCCTGGCCAACATGGCAAAACCCCGTCTCTACTAAAAAAATACAAAAATTAGCTGGGTGTGGTGGTGGGTGGCCAAGTAATTTCAGCTAGTTGGGAGGCTGAGGAAGGAGAATCACTTGAACCCGGAAGGTGGAGGTTGCAGTGAGCCAAGATTATGCCACTGCGCTCCAACCTGGGCGACAGAGTGAGACTGTCTCAAAAAAAAAAAAAAAAAAGAGAAAGAGAGGAATGTGGGATGCTGTTTTTGACACAGTGGTGGTCCCTATTCCTATTTTTCTTCAAAAGGATCATGAAGCTCCTTTGTAAAATAGGAGAGTTCTCTTATTTGAGACAGAGTCTCGCTCTACCACGCAGGCTGGGGTGCAGTGGCACAATCTCGGCTCACTACAACCTCCACCTCCCAGGCTCAAGTGATTCTCATGCCTCAGCCTCCCGAGTAGCAGAAACTACAAGGGCGCAGCACACCACAGCTGACTAATTTTTTTAATTTTTAGTAGAGACAAGGTTTCGCTATGTTGGCCAGGTTGAACTCCTGGCCTCAAGTGATCCACCCATCCGGGCCTCCCAAAGTGCTGGGATTACAGATGTGAGCCACAGAGCCCGTCTGCATGATGGGAGAGTTCTGAGAAGCATGGGCTGGAATCCAGTGAGAGGAGATACTTTTACCACCTCTTCCCAGCTCTGATTCCACCAACATGGTCCAAGTTTCCCAGACTCAACCCACACCGCTGTTCAGGTCCTATGTCTCTAAGCTGTTTCTCTTTCGGGCACTTTCCAAGCGGCCTGGGTCGCAAACTCTACATCCCAGCAGCTGACACAGTGGGCACGACCTGGAACTAGAAACGACCTTTTCATAGTGCAGACGGCCACCCTACGGGAGATGCTTTGTTAGAAAGCCTCTCCAGAGACATAGAGTCGAATCCTGACACAAACATGTCAAGGAAATGTCCTACAAGAAATTTTGTTTAAAACATGCAGGTTAAAATCAGTGGCTGAGCATCATGGCTCACACTTGTAATCTTAACTACTCAGGGGTTGAGGCAACAGATCGCTTGAGGCCAGGAGGTCAAGACCAGCCTGGGCAACACGGAGAAACCCCCAATCTCTGTTGATTAAAAAAAGGGGGAAAAAACCAATTTGGTAATATATATATCAAGAGGTTTAAAAAAGTCCACTTCCTTTGATCGAATAATTAAGACCCTAACTTAAGAAGATTACAGAAGAATTCTGATGTGAAGATACTCACCACAGCACTGTTTCTATTATGGAAAACAGGGCAACGCCACAGAAACCAATAGAATATTAACAGCTGTCTTTGAGTAGGGAAACAAAAGGAGACGTTTTTTTTACTTGCTTCTTTTCTTCTTCATATATAGGATACCTTTTGTCTGACTTCCTTATGTTGCTAAACTTTTCACATTTTCTAAAGCAAGAAAGTATCACTTCCGTTATCAGGGAAAAAACCTGTCCTGGCCAGGTGTGGTCACTCCTGCCTGCAATCCCAGCACTCCGGGAGGCTGAGGTGGGCAGACCACCTGAGGCCAGGAGTTTGAGACCAGCTTGGCCAACATGGTAAAATACCATCTCTACTAAAAATATAAAACTTAGCTGGGCATGGTGGCATGTGCCTGTAATCCCAGCTACTTGGAAGGCTGAGACAGGAGAATCCCTTGAACCCAGAAGGCAGAGACTGCAGTGAGCTGAGAACGACGCCATTGCACTCCAGCCTACGCAACATAAGCCTCAAGAAAAAAAACAACAAAAACCAAAAAAACCCCTCTCCTTAAAATGCCAAACATTTGTAAAAGGTCCTAAGAATAAACCAAACCACTACCACCCCTGTGTCTTACCATCATCACTTTAAATGGCTGCTGCTGTCCCAGTTCCGTTTCACTAATATCAGGCCCTGTCAACTTAAAATGGTACCTCCCTGACAACAGACACATCCCCCCATCCCTGAGTTCCAAAAAATGGAAGAGCAAACCATCCACATTCCTATTACAGTGGTCCTGTGAGCACAGCGAGATGGGGCTTTGCTTGTAAAGAGATCACTCAAGCTGGTGCCTCCCACATCCTACTGAGAGATGACACAAAACTAGTATGTGATTTGTCCCTTGCACAGTGGGTGGCTGGAAGGGAAGTGACAACTCTTCTGGCTGGGGCCTGATGAGTCCTCTGGGGACAGGCCAGAGAAGAACCTTCCAAAGGGCACCCATGGTGCAGGCTCCAGTAACCTACAATTCCCTTGTGGTCAACCAGCTTCTCCAGAACCAAGAACCCACTGGCTCCTGGGTGGACAAGAGCAATCTAACCACCTATAACCAGCCAGAGGGCAGAGCCCTGGTTTACGGGCCTACCCATAGGCCAAAGTGGAGGAGTAATGGGGACAGCAGTGGATGTGTAATACTAAGAGCAGGCCTGGTGCAGTGGCTCAAACCTTGTAATCCCAGCACTTTGGCTGGCTGAGGGAGAAGGACTGCTTTGAACCCGGGATTCAAGGTTGCAGTGAGCTATGACTGTGCCACTACATTCCGACTTAGGCAATAGAGCAAGACTCGGTCTCTTCTAAAAAAAAAATAACAGGCCAGGTGCAGTGGCTCATGCCTGTAATCCCAACACTTTGGGAGGATGAGGCAGGCAGATCACCTGAGGTTGGGAGTTCAAGACCAACCTGACCAAAATGCAGAAACCTGTCTTTACTAAAAATTTGAAATTAGCCAGGCGTGGTGGCGGGCACCTGTAATACCAGCTACCCAGGAGACTGAGGCAGGAGAACTGCCTGATCCTGGGAGGTGGAGGTTGTGGTAAGCCAAGATTGTGCCATTGAACTCCAGCCTGGGCAACAAGAGCACAACCATCTCAAAGTAAATAAATAAATACATACATACATACATAACAGCCCAGCCGGGCACGATGGCTCATGTCTGTAATCTCAGCACTTTGGGAGGCTGAGGCAGGCAGACCACAAGCTCAGGAGCTCGAGAACAGCCTGGCCAATACAGTGAAACCTCGTCTCTACTAAAAATACAAAAATTAGCTGGGTGTAGTGGCATGCACCTGTAGTTCCAGCTACTCAGGAGGCTGAGGTAGGAGAATCACTTGAACCTGGGAGGCAGAGGTTGCAGTGAGCCGAGATTTCGCCGCTGCATTCTAGCCTGCCAGCTTGGGTGACAGAGTGAGACTCCATATCGAAAAAAAAAAAAAAGTGGAACGGGAACCTGAATCCAGGAACAGAGCCCTTTGCTCCTCCCTCAGAATGAATGGGGACAATAATCAGATGTTTATGCCCAAGAAAAGCAGGATTTTGTTCAGAACTTCTCGAAGATCATTAGAGCGCTGACAGAGGATGAGGTGGGCCACCTAGAGCCAGGAGATGCTATTGTCCAGCTCCAGGAGGTCCTGGAGTGCAATGCCACTGGAGGCAAGTATCACTGGGCTTTGACAGTGCTAGTAACGTCCCAGGAGCTGGTGGAGCAGGCCCTGACTGCGGCTGGTGTCTGGAACTGCTGCAAGCTTTCTTCCTGGTGGCAGGTGACATCATGGATTCACCCCCCAGAAGCCAGGCATGGGTTTGGATGCCATTAATGGTGCTATCCTTCTGGAAGCAGGTATCTACCACCTGCTGAAGCTCTATTGCCAGAAGCAGCCCTATTACCTAAACCTGATCAAGCTCTTCCTGCAGAGTTCCTATCAGACAAACATTGGGCAGACCCTGGACCTCATCACAGCCCCCCAGGGCAATGTGGATCTTGGCAGATCACCGAAAAGAGGTACAAATCTGTCCAGGCGTGGTGGTTCACACCTGTAATCCCAGCATTCTGGGAGGTTGAGGCAGACAGATCACTTGTGGTCAGGAGTTCAAGACCAGCCTGGCCAACATGGTGAAAGCCCATCTCTACTAAAAATACAAAAATTAGCCAGGTGTGGTGGTGGGTGCCTGTAATCCCAGCTACTCAGGAGGCTGAGGCAAAAGAATCTCTAGAATCTATGAGGTGGAGGTTGCAGTGAGCAGAGATTGCACCACTGCACTCCAGCCTGGGCAACAAGAGCGAAACTCCATCTCCAAAAAATTAAATAAATAAATTGATTAAATAAAATAAATTTAAAAAATAACACCAGTGGCTACCAGGTAAAGGTTTAGCATGCACCAGGCTCTGTGCTTAGTCCTTCCACCTTACTAGTAATTCTCGTTGGTCCTCACAACTGGGGAAGCAGGTGACTGCACAGTTATTTCCATCCCACAGCTGAGAAAATTGAGTCACAAGGAAACATGTGGCTAGTGGAAGGATATCCAGGGACTGAGAAAACCCAAATCTGCTTCCAGGGTTCCTGTCCTTCCCCACCAAGACAGACTGATGCCAGACAAACTGGCCTATAGATGTGTTTTGCTTGGGCTACTAAGGTTTGGCTTTTAAAACTTGAGCTGGCCGGGCGTGGTGGCTCACACCTGTAATCCAAACACTTTGGAGGCCAAGGCGGGCGGATCACCTGAGGTCGGGAGTTCAAGACCAGCCTGACTAACACAGTGAAACCCTGTCTTTAAAAAACAAACAAACAAAACAAACAAACAAACAAACAAACAAAAAAAAAACAACTTGAACTGATATTTAAAATTTGGAATATTCACCGTAAAAAAAAAAAAATCTAGATTTCCAGCTTCTCCTGAAAATCAGAAAAGATGGTAACATCTGCAGATTTGCAGGCAGGGCCTAGATCCATGACCTACCTAGCAACAACCAGCTAAACTGCGATGGTGGCAGGGACGTCCTCTCCAGGTGACCACAGCTACCACAACTCCCTATGGCTGGAGCCAACATGCAGTTCCTGTAAAGGACAGAACAAGTCTTTGCAACAACTCCGCCACTAGACAACAAGAACAACGATAAACAATGTGTGAACAGGAGGGGCTGCGTACCAATAAAACTTTATGAACAAAATCAGGCAGTGGGGCTGAACACAGTGGCTTATGCCTGTAATCCCAGCACTTCAGGAGGCTGAGGCAGGCAGATCATTTGAGGCCAGGAGTTTGAGACTAACCTGACCAACACAGTGAAACTCTATCTCTACCAAAAAAATACAAAGATTAGCCAGGAATAGTGGCATGTACCTGTAATCCCAGCTACTTGGGAGGCTAAGGCAGGAGATTCACTTGAACCCAGGAGGCTGAAGTTGCAGTGAGCCAAGATCGAACCACTGCACTCCAGCCTGGGTGAGAGAGTGAGACTCTGTCTCAAAAAAAAAAGGCAGAGGGCCTGATTTGGCTGACGGACCATCGTTTGCAGACCCCCACCCTGTGGCCTCCCCGACATCTATTACTGTGCTTTCATACTCCTACAGTTGAGAAATATTTCTCTGAACTCGTGTCTCTATCAAAAAGCGAGAGAGTGCTTTGCCTCTGGCTAGCTTTGCCAATAACACGCCCTGCCCTCTGAAGACATGTCAGCCTTTACCCAACACCTAAGGGTAAAATACAGCATCCAACAGCACAGCAGGCAGCATGCCAGCAGGACCCACCTCTGGGAAGCCCCAGGCGCTCCCCAGAGCCACGCCAGTCACTGATAACATCCTCTGTAGCTGGGAATCAGGCCCTGGCCTCCCTCTCCCCTCCTCTCTCCATTTCTCCTAGACCCTTGGGATCTGTTCCCATGGCTTCAATATTCCCCTACATACAGATCACCCAAAGCTGTCTTCATGATGCCCTGAGCCCCTCAAACCCTCAGCTCCTGCCATCTGGACCTTCTGGCTATGCCCAGGGTGGGTCAGGCTGTTTCATGCCCTTCACCCTGCACTGAGAATGCCCATCCCACTTGTCCATTTACTCATCTCGTAGTTCCTAGCTTGAGACTCTGCCCTGTGAGATCTTTCCTAAGTTCACTCCTGCTCCGAAGGCAAAAGTGGCCACTTCTAACAATCAATGCCCACATGATGTCTGAGTGCCATTACCTGTCTCTTCCACTGGAGAATGCGTAAGCTCCTTAAAGGCGAGGATTACTTTTCGAACCAGACCCAGAAAACTGAGTACTAACGAAAAAATACATTTCACTATGTTAAAATAAAGAATGGCTGATCAACAGAAGACACCTTAAAGAACGCGGAAAAATAGGTTAAAAGCAGTGAGAGCCGGGAGAGGTGGCTCATGCTTGTAATCCCAGCACTTTGGGAGGCCAAGACAGGCGGATCATGAGCTCAGGAGACTGAGATCATCCTAACATGGTGAAACTCTGTCTCTACTAAAAATATAAAAAATTAGCCGGGCGCAGTGGCTCATGCCTATAATCCCAGCACTTTGGGAGGCCGAGGCGGGTGGATCACGAGGTCAAGAGATCGAGACCATCCTGGTCAACATGGTGAAACCCCGTCTCTACTAAAAATACAAAAATTAGCTGGGCATGGTGGCCCGCGCCTGTAGCTACTCGGGAGGCTGAGGCAGGAGAATTGCCTGAACCCGGGAGGCGGAGGTTGTGGTGAGCCGAGATCACGCCATTGCACTCCAGCCTGGGTAACAAGAGTGAAACTCTAACTCAAAAAAAAAAAAAATACAAAAAATTAGCCAGGCATGATGGTATGTGCCTGCAGTCCCAGCTACTCAGGAGGCTGAGGCAAGAGAATCGCATGAATCCCGGAAGTGGAGGTTGCAATGAGCCAAGATCGAGCCACTACACTCCAGCCTAGGCGACAGAGTGAAACTGTCTCAAAAAAACCTAAGAAAAAAAAACAAAAGAAAGGGTTACCTCAGGATAAGAACAGAAAAAAATGTTCAAATGAAATGATTAGATGTTCTAAGGGGACCTGATAAAGTAGAAAAAATTTTTAATTAAAAAAAAGATTAGATGTATACTTTTGTTTCATGATCTCAGCTTTTGTTTTGGGTGCCTAGGTTGCCAGAGCTTACTACATTTATTAAAAATAACTTACTAAATAAGGAAAAGTAGGTCAGGCATGGACGCTGATGAGTGTGTACTAATCAATCTTGTTCTCAGCTTAGCTGATAAGACAAACACCAAAGGGACTGCTGAATTCATCTTTGTACTCCAAGTGCCAAGCGCGAGCCCCGGCGCACAGAATTTCGGGAGGCATTTGGGGAAAGAATCAGTGCTCTTCTCTCTAGCCCATGGCCTCATTTCCTGCTGGCCTCTTAATACCTTCACCACGTCTGAAGCCGAACGCATCTTCCTTCCTCATTCTCCATTTCCCTCTGGATTTCCCCCAAGCGACCAAGAGAAAAACCTCAGACACTCAGTCCTCCTCAACCTGCTCCCCAGGCCTGGCAGCTGCCTAGCCTGCTCTCTCCTCACCTCTGTAGCTCTCTGCTAACACCTGGCAGGGACCCTTAGGCCTCTCACTTTAATCATTACTCCCTCCCAAATGGCTTCTCCAACTCTGCTTTCTCCCTCTGATACGTCTCAAGACGGGGGACAAGAAGCAGCTTCCTGAGCTACTGTTCTGATCCTGTCTTTTACACACCACCCCTGGATCTCTAGAATGAAGCTCAGATTCCTCAGGCTGACAGTCAAAGCCCATCACAGTCTGGCCCCTCCCTCGTTATCAACAATATTTGCCTGTGCCCTTCCCTTCCACCCCCTCTCGTCTATCCCTCCCCCTCTACAATCCCCCTGCAGAGTGTCTATGTCTATCCCTCCCCTGCACGATCCCCCTGTGGAGTGTAAGTGATGCTCTGCTACTCCCATCTGCATCAGCGTGTCCCTACCCCCACGTCTCAGCTCCACCCCAATCCCACCCACTTGGTCCCCTGTCCTCACCTTACCCACCCTTTTACGGCCCAATTTAAATAGCACTTCCCACGATGCCTGGATGTGCCCAGCAGAAAGCAAACACCCTCTAAATTAGCCAGGCGTGATGGTGTGCACCTGTAATCCCAGCTACTTGGGGAGCTGAGGCACGAGACTCTGGAGCCTGGGAGGCGAAGCTGCAGTGAGCTGAGATTGCGCCACTGCACTCCAGCCTGGGTGACCGAGTGAGACTCTGCCTCAAAAAACAAACAAAACAACAACAAAAAGAATGAAAGGAAACACACTCTGATCAACCTCCTTTTCAGTCCTTTTCAGTTCTCTCTGTTCATTTTCTCTCTTCCATTAGACTATGAGCAACTGAGGGCGAAACCACTCACCTGCCTCTCCCCCTCCCCCTTCTTGGCACCGTCCCCGCCCCACCCCACCCCCGCCCCCAAGAAGCTGGCATGGTGTAAAGAGACTCACTAAGAGAACAATCCAGTCTAACCCATTCTACATGTGCCAGTGTGCTCCTGTAAAATGTCCCTCAGGAGGCCAAGCACAGCGGCTCAGGCTTGTAATCCAGGCACTCCAGGAAGCTGAGATGGGAGGATCACTTGAGGCCAGCCTGGACGACACAGAGTTAGAGACCAGCCTGGACAACACAGAGAGACACGGTCTCTAGAAAAAGTTAAAATATTAGTTGGGTATGGTGGTAGGCCACTCAGCTCCTCCCGAGCCAGGAATTTGAGGCTGTGGTTATGATCACTCCACTGCACTCCGGCCTGGGCAATAGCAGTAGACCCCACCTCAGACAAATACATACAATGCCCCTCATGGAATTCTGCTAAAATCCTTCTGCTCCCGAGTCTTGGCACGGCCCACATAACCCTCCCCCTCAGCCCTCCACCTGCTTTTCCAGCCTCCTCTACCACATACTAAGCTACTTACAGTGGCCCAGCTGTGTCCCGGTGGCTTCATGACTTTGCAAATGCTGACTCCTCTCCCAGGCGACTGTGCCCCACTTTCTAAGTCCTACTCCTCCTTCACAATCCCCTTCAACTACCACCTTCCAGAAGCCTTCCTGACCCTCCCCCGTCCCTTCCCTTCCTGGATGTGGGTAGGAGGGCCTTATGATTTCCCCCATCTCAGTATATGTCACACTGACAATATCACTGACTGTGGTTTGTCTTTGCCACCAAACAATGAGCTCCCAAAAGACAGAGATCTTGTCTGGCACCCAGTAAAGGTTTATGCAACAAAAGAAATGAAAACTGCCAGTTCAAATGCAGAAATCGTGACTTGTGTCTTCCATCCCATAGAGCATGTCTTAAAGTGGAAAGCATCTTCTAAGACTAGTTAAACAGGAGAAGCAGCTGGCAAGACGCCACTGAAATTTATTTGAGACAGGTGGCAATCAACAATTAACTCCCAGGGTGACCGTTTATCCTGTAGACCTCAAATTCCACCCTCCCCAATCCCCACCTTCTCTGCACCAGACAGAGAAGGCAGCAAGGTCAAGTCCCTGTGGCTCTCACCTTTTTCTCCTGAGAGCTGGCACGAAGCGTCCCTTTTGGATGAAGACACCAGCTCCTTAGGAGGAATGACTTGTTTGAGTTCCCATCTTGATGCAAACCACAAACAACAAAAACCGGGCAAATCTGAAAGGCTTGCTGACTCAGCAACACAATTTCCAAGGCACCTTTGCCAACAAGGAAGATGATGATCAGGTTTTAAATTGAGAAACAGCGGTTAGTAAAAACGAAGGTGCAGATGTTGGATCCGTGTGCTGTGCCTGGGGACTGAAAATCACCAGATTTATTTTCCAGTAGCCTGGGTGGAGCAGAAGGCCTCCTCCACCCACTTATCAAGGAGATGGTTGAAAAACAACAAAAAGCAAACAACAACAAAAAAACCCTGAGCCCTTCTATTTTTTTATTATGTATTTATTTTTGGAGATGGAGTCTTGCTCTGTCACCCAGGCTGGAGTGCAGTGGGGCGATCTCAGGTCTCTGCAGCCTCCACCTCCCAGGTTCAAGCAACTCTCCTGCCTCAGCCTCCCGAATACCTGGGATTATAGGCACAAGCCACTACACCCAGCTCTGAGCCCTTCTTTAAAAAAAAAAAAAAAAAGTTTCGTTATCCCTCTGTCACCCATGCTGGAGTGCAGTGGCATGATCATAGCTCACTGCAGCCTCCAACTCCTGGGGCCAAGCAATCCTCCTGCCGCAGCCTCCCAAACAGCTGGGACTACAGGTGCCAACAGGCCCATCCAATTTTTTGTAGAGACAGTATCTCAGGAATCTTCTTCATTTCTCAGGCTTGTGTCAAACTCCTGGACTCAAGTGATCCTTCCACCTCGGCCTCCCAAAGTGCTGGGATTACAGGCGTGAGCCACCGTGCCTGACCTGAGGCCTTTCACAGAAAACCCTAAAAGAACTTCATAAGCCAGTCTGGCAGCTAAGCATCCAGGAAATCAACATACCAGAGACAGTAAATATTTGGCCAAGATCACAGAGCAACCGAACCAGAGGGCTTGCTGTCAGGATGGCTTAGGTAAGCCCGGATGGTGGCTACCAGAAAGTCTGCCTTCTTTAACGCTAGAGGAGCTAGGAGGGCATGCAGAAATATTCTGAGTTTCTCAAGGGTCCAGGCGTTTGTACACATGCTATTTATTTCCATCGCGGTTGGCGCTTAGAGAAGCGGAGCCGGCTTGGAGGAGGAGGGCGGCTAGCTGAGAGTCGCGATGAAAGCGCAACTCCAGAAAAGGGAACCGAGTTCTAAGTCTTCGTTGGCACCCCTTACGCACCCGCAAAAGGGACCCAGGAGGTCCTGGGAAAGTAGAAGGCAGACCCCAGCCGGAGAGCAGGGAAGCACAGTTAGAAGGCAATCTCCTCCAAAGTACAACCCCCAGACCGTAAGTCCCTTCACCTGGAGGTAGACCCCAGTAGGACCCACCCCTCGTCAGAGCCGGTGGCAATCTCGTCACCGCCTCCTCCGGGTCCTGTGGGAAGGGGTGCGCTCCTCCCGAGCGACCCGAACTCCCGGGGGCCGCGCCCCTCCGCCTGGGAGCCCCTCAGCCTCCACCCAGACGTCCCCTCTCGCACCCGGCACCCTGTCCCGTCCAAGGCTCCCGGCGCCTCCCAAGTCCCCCCAACTCCCGCCACCAGGACCTTGAGACCGGAGACCGATGCCCCGACATCCCTGATCTCCCGGGACCCCCGGGTGTCCCCGCCGCCCGGGCCGTCGACTCCCCTCACACCCACGCCCGCCCCCTTCCGGTCCCGGCTGTGCTCCGACTCCCCGCGCCACCCCGCGCCCCAGCGACGCGCAGGTAGCCTGCCCGCCCTCTCACCTAGGCTGAGGAGGACGAGAGAACGGGGCTGAGGGCACCACAGCGCTCGGGCTGTAGCTTCGGCTCGGCCTCGGAAGGTCTCCGGCTGCAGCTCCGACTCTCAGGAGAAGGCAACCAGAGTGAAACTCAGCGTCGCAGCTTCCGAGCGCGCCGCTGCGCATGCCCGGGGCGCGTGGGCTTCCGGGAAATGTAGTCCCGGAGGGGCCCAGGGGCGGGCAAGGGGCCGGACGCAAGGGGAGGGGCTCAACCCAAGGCGCACCTGCTCTGGTCTATGTTTTCTTCCTTCGCCTGTTCACTCATTCACTTATTCTTTAGTTACTGACTTCATTTTAACTAGTTTTTACTAGTACATACATGGTGCCAATTCAGGTGCTACTGTTTCTCTTTTTTGTTTTTCAAATTAACTTTAATTTTATTTTTATTTGTTGTACAGACGGGAGTCTTGCAATGTAGCTCAGGCTGATCTCAAATTCCTGGCCTCAAGTGATCCCCTTGCTTCAGCCTCCCGAAGCACTGGGGTTGCAAGTGTGAACCATTGAGGCCAGTCTTTTTAAATTTTTTTCTTTTTTCTTTTCTTTCTTTTTTTTTTTTTTGAGACCGAGTTTGACTCTTGTTACCCAGGCTGGAGTGCAATGGCACGATCTCGGCTCACCACAACCTCCGCCTCCTGGGTTCAAGCAATTCTCCTGCCTCAGCCTCCCGAGTAGCTGGGATTACAGGCACGCGCCACTATGCCCAGCTAATTTTTTGTATTTTTAGTAGAGACGGGGTTTCCCCATGTTGACCAGGATGGTCTCAATCTCTTGACCTCATGGTCCACCCACCTCAGCCTCCCAAAGTGCTGGGATTACAGGTTTGAGCCACCACGCCCGGCCTTCTTTTTTTTTTTTAGAGTCAGGGTTTGACCATGTTGGCCAGGCTGGTCTCAAACTCCTGACCTCAGGTGATCCGCCCACGTCGGCCTCCCAAAGTGCTGGGATTACGGGCGTGAGCTACCACACCCAGCCAAACTTTTTGGATTTAAAATTTTGCAGGGCATGGTGGCTCATGCTTGTAATGCCAGCACTTTGGGAGGCTGAGGTGGGCGGATCACCTGAGCTCAGGAGTTCAAGACCAGCCTGATCAACATGGAGAAACCCCGTCTCTACTAAAAATATGAAAAATTAGCCAGTGTGGTGGCACATTCCTGTAATCCCAGCTACTCAGGAGGCTGAGGCAGGAGAATCGCTTGAACCTGGGAGGCAGAGGTTGTGGTGAGCCGAGATCGGGCCATTGCACTCCTGCCCGGGCAACAAAAGCGACATACATCTTAAAATAATAATAATAACATTTTGTCTTTTCTTTTTTTTAAATTTTTGCTACTGTGTAGTGGGAGTGTGGGATTGAACAGGTGGATCAAAATGGTTTCTCTGCCGGGTGCGGTTGCTCACATCTGTAATTCCAGCACTTTGGGAGGCCAAGGCGGGCAGATCACCTGAGGTCAGGAGTTCCAGACCAGCCTGGCCAACATGGTGAAACCTTGTCTCTCTCTTTTTTCCCCCCAGCCCCTCAAAACCTCGTCTCTATTAGAAATACTGAAAAAAAAATTAGCAGGGTGTGGTGGCTCGTGCCTGTAATCCCAACTACTCCGGAAGCTGAGGCAAGAGAATCACTTGAACTCTGGAGGCAGAGTTGCAGTGAGCCAAGAAGCACCATTAAACTCCAGCCTGGGCAACAGAACAGAGTGGGAATCCATCTCACAAAAAGAAAAAAAAAGAAAAAGAAAGAGGAAGGAAGGAAGGAAGGGAGGGAGGGAGGGAGGGAGGGAGGGAGGAAGGAAGGAAGGAAGGAAGGAAGGAAGGAAGGAAGGAAGGAAGGAAAAGGTTTCTCTCTCAGGAAAGCTCCATTTCTAGTTGAAAAGTCAGGCACTTAAACACACAATTACAATATAGTGGGGAAATGTTTGGCTAAAGGAGAGCATGGAAGGGTATACCTAACTTGGGGGTGGGGAGAAGACATCACAAGAGAGATGAAGGCTGTGTGGGTTTTGCAGTCCGTAGAGAGTTTGCCAGTTGGAGCATAGGGAAGCTCTTGTAAAGCAAGAGAGATGTGAAAATGCCTCATGCACTCCTGAGGCAGAGCAAAGTTCCCGGTTGCCAGGACAGAGGGCACACGGAGGGAAGGGAGTGAGGAAGGAGAAAACGCACTAGGCTACAGTATGGGGAGACACCAGGGTAAGGTTACGATGAATTTGGCCGGGCGTAGTAGCTTACGCGGTGGCTCATCCTTAAGCACTTTGGGAGGCTGAGGCAGGTGGAACCCAAGGTCAGGACTTCAAGACCAGCCTGGCCAAGATGGTGAAACTCTGTCCCTACTAAAGATACAAAAATTAGTCGGGTGTGGTGGTGGGCGCCTGTAATCCCAGCTACTCAGGAGGTTGAGGCAAAAGAATTGCTTGAATCTGGGAGGTGGAGGTTGCAGTAGCCGAGATCGCATCACTGCACTCTAGCCTGGGCAAGACTCCATCTTAAAAAAAAAAAAAATGATGATGAACTTTAGATGATGTGACGATATGAGTGCTCACATATGTGTACACACACTGCATATATTGAATATCATATATACAGTTTCAGGAAGATCGAAATCCTCTGAATCTTGGTGGACCAAGTAGTATCCAGTTAAAGAGACTCACCTGGAATAACATGATCCTAAGATCACTGATCCCTTATCAGGGATTTTTTTTTTTTCCTCTGAGACGGAGTTTTGCTCTTGTTGCCCAGGCTGGAGTGCAATGGTGCAATCTCGGTTTACTGCAACCTCCACCTCCTGGGTTCAAGTGATTCTCCTGCCTCACTTCCCGAGTTAGCTGGGATTACAGGCATGAGCCACCACACTCGGCTAATTTTTGTATTTTTAGTAGAGATGGAGTTTCACCATGTTGGCCAGGCTGGTCTCAAACTCCTGACCTCAGGTGATCCGTCTGCCTTGGCCTCCCAAAGTGCTGGGATTACACGTGAGGGCCACTGCATCCGGACAGAGTTCCATTTTTATAACCTGAAAGGATGGACTATTTTTATTTGGGAAAAATAAAGAGTTCTGGTTGTGAAAAGAAGTAAAATAGGACAGTATAAAGAGGGAGAGTGGGGGGCATGGTCTTTTATATTTTAGACGGGAGAGAGATGCGTGTTCTGACTTCTGAAACTGCAGCAGGATGTCTGTCCCCTGGGAACCTGGAAATGAGGGAAACAGGCTTGGCCACTTGCAAAGTGAACTTTGAACTAATATATGTAGCAAGGGGCCAGAGACAAAAGAACTGCCTCTCAGGAGGGGGCTGGTTAAATAACCCCGGAACACTAGGTAGCCCTAGAAGGAATGAGGAAGACTGACAAGTGCCCCAGATATATTAAGCCAAAAAGGAACTCTGAGCCAGGTGCGGTGGCTCACGCCTGTAATCCCTAGCACTTTGGGAGGCCAAGGCAGGCGGATCACCTGAGGTCAGGAGTTTGAGACCACCCTGCTCGACATGGTGAAACCCTGTCTGTACTAAAAACAAAAAATTAGTCGGGTGTGGTGGCACATACCTATAATCCAGCTACTAGGGAGGCTGAGGCAGGAGAATCACTTGAACCCGGGAGGCAGAGGTTGTAGTGAGCCAAAATTGTGCCACTGCATTCCAGTCTGGGCAACAGAGTGAGACTCTGTCTTAAAAAAAAAGTGGGGGGAGCCGGGCGCGGTGGCTCACGCCTATAATCCCAGCACTTTGGGAGGCTAAGGCGGGTGGATCATGAAGTCAAGAAATTGAGACCATCCTGGTCAACATGGTGAAACCCCATCTCTACTAAAAATACAAAAAAATCAGCTGGGCATGGTGGCGCGCACCTGTAGTTCCAGCTACTCGGGAGGCTTGAACCCAGGAGGCTGAGGTTGCGGTGAGCCGAGATCCTGCCATTGCACTCCAGCCTGGGTAACAAGAGCGAGACTCTGTCTCAAAAAAAGAAAAGGGAACTTTCAGAATAAAGGATAGAAAATAGGCACCCATTTGTGTTTTTTAAACAATTGCATACAATAAATGGGCTTGCAGACAAAAAAAGTTCCTGGGAAGAAACCTAAGAAGCCCCCAGTAGGTAGGTGGATAAGCTGAAGAATTATTTTGTTTTTCGTTTTTTTTTGTTTGTTTGTTTGTTTGTTTCATTTTGTTTTTGAGGTGGAGTTTCGCTGTTGTTACCCAGGCTGGAGTGTAATGGCATGATCTTGGCTCACCGCAACCTCTGCCTTCTGGGTTCAAGCAATTCTCCTGCCTCAGCCTCCCGAGTAGCTGGGACTACAGGCGCACACCACCATGCCCAGCTAATTTTTGTATTTTTAGTAGAGACGGGGTTTCATGTCGTTGACCAGGATGGTCTCAATCTCTTGACCTCCTGATCCACCCACCTCGGCCTCCCAAAGTGCTGGGATTGTAGGCGTGAGCCACCGTGCCTGGCCTGTTTTTTGTTTTTTTGAGACAGTCTCCCTCTGTCTCCCAGGCTGGAGTGCAGTGGCCTGATCTCAGCTCACTGCGGCCTCAGCCTCCCAAGTAGCTGGGATTACACACACCCACAACAACACAAGGCTAACTTTTGTATTTTTAGTAGAGACAGGGTTTCACCATGTTGGCCAGGCTGGATTTGAACTTCTGACCTCAAATGATCTGCCTACTTCAGCCTCCCAAAGTGCTGGGATTACAGGCATGAGCCACCGTGCCCAGCCAAGAATTTTAAAATATTTGTTTGTTTTTTGAGACAGTGTCTTCCAGGCTGGAGTACAGTGTCGTAATCATAGCTCACTGCAGCCTCGACCTCCTAGGTTCAAGTGATCCTCCTGCCTCAGCCTCCTGAGTAGCTGGGACTAAAAGTGTGCACCACCATGCCCGCTGATTTTTGTATTTTTTTGTTGAGACAGGGTCTCACCATGTTGCCCAAGCTGGTCTTAAATTCCTGGGCTCAAGAGGTCCTCTTGCCTCAGCCTCCCACAGTGTGAACCACCACCCCTGACTGAAGTTTTAAAGATTTAGAGAGGGCTCTTGGCCGGGCAGAGTGGCTCATGCCTGTTATCTCAGCTCCTTATGAGGCCGAGGTGGGCGGATCACCTGAGGTCAGGAGTTCAAGACTAGCCTGGCCAACATGGCGAAACCCCATCTCTACTAAAAATA